CGGACACCGCGCGTGAAATTGAAAAGCCCAAAAAAGCATCTGACCGGAATTATATTGAAACATGTTTTTGGCCTAATGGGTCTGACTCTAAGATCACTTTGTACAATACGGTCTTTTAGTTAAGACTTGAAAGCCACTGAGTGTTCGCCATTTTTCGTCATAGTTGCCGGAATCATCATTATGCTACATCGCGTCTTATCAAATAATCCTGGCAACACACGAGCCACTCATGAATTCCCTTCGCTAATTTCATGACGTAAAACCAGAGGCCCGTAACAGAATTAATGCTCAATATTAATGCTCAATATCATTTATAACTACGAGAGTCACAAGGGCATAGTAAACGTAAAAAAGTAGATGTACCCGGAAAAGTTATGAGATGGGTTGATTTTAATTGCCCAGCAGGAGCGGCCGATTGGTTCAGTGATATGATTGGTCAGAGTTATTCTGTCCACTTGTCTGATATTCCATTCCAGTGAATCAGTTTGCGTATCTCGAGAACAAAATAAGAGGACTGAATGGCGTTTTCTGAGGCAGAGTTGGTCTTTTTGGCATTTATCTTCATTTTTACTTTGGGCTTCTTGATGCAATTGCTGGGAGGGAAAAACAATACCTCAACAGTAAAGAAAACAAAAAAGAAGAGAAAGGGACGCAAAAGGTCGACACGAGGACACTGCCAAGAGCATCAGTACAGGAGTCGACGAGAACCTGACGAAAATGACGACGAAGAACCTTATAATCCTCGTGGCATAATATTCCGGTGAGACTTAGTAATGTTGCTGCCGTTAATTTACCATTTTGAAGTAGTGACAATCGATACCCTTCCCTTTTGCCTTGCCAATATCGCAGAAAAAAAAAAAAAAAAAAAAAATTAAAAGTTAATAAAAAAAAGATTTGTTAAAACAAAAATGTTTTATTTTTTCACAATTTTTTTTTTATGTTTTTAAAATTAAAAATTAATAAATTATAATTTTTTTACTTTGAGAATTGTTTTTCAAACAGAAGCATTTTTTTTTTTTTTGGAAATTTT